TGGGAATAAAAAACACGACTACATGACCATCCTTTACTTTGAATAAATGAAGATATGTTACGTCAGAGTCATAACAAATTGCAGATGACTTAGGGACATGCATTAGATGGATCAATTAAACATCCACAGTTTAAATACAAGATCGACGTACGTCTGAAGTTTAGTATCTTTGTATATATAAAACATACTGTAACTTAATTAGTCACATGACAAGAGCATTCACCCTAAATAGTTCACTGTAAATTGACAGCTAACAGGCCATTGGCTGAATTTTTACCTGACAAATTAGTGAGTGTTCGATATATTTACTCAGAAACAATGGTGAATTAGCCATCAATGTTCTCTCCAGCTGACATTCAAATTTAAATGAATATGTTTTTATACCCCATCTAAGATCAAGGACCTCGCTATAAACTGCACACTAAAGAGTTCTTATTTCTTGGTTTTGGTGATCTGCCCTTTGGATATGAGATAAAATAAAATTGATTGAAATCTACAGCATACTATCTATTTTTAATCAATTCAAGAATTTTTAATATTTATCAGGCCAAGATAAATTAATTAAACACGTAATTCTTTTTTTTCGCGGGGGTTGCGGGGGGGGGGGGGGGAGTACCATATGTTCAAAAAGAAATGGATAAGCTCAGTATATACACCTAGTAAATATAATATGATATTCTTAATGTCCAAAAACATTTTTATGAGTGCACATAGAGGGTTATCAAGAAACAAAAATAAGACATACATTATACCTATTTCTGTTTTATTTGTATTCTGATTTCAGGCGTGAACCAACAGAGTACACGTAAGTAAGATTTCTTTTACTTTTCGATGCATATACATGTATATATTTTGTCCTTATTATATAAACATTGCATGTAGTTGAGTGTAACATTGAAAATTTTCATCCCAAGAAAACCATTGTCATCCGAGGCGCAGCCGAGGTTGACAATGGTTTTCGAGGGGTGAAAATTTTCAATGTTACACTCAACTACATGCAATATTTATTATATTATACTGAATGTTTTATACAGATACATATAACAGTGAACTCTGCGCGCATAAATTCTGCGCAGTCATTTTTTTTTTTTGGAATATCACCCGTCGTCAAGCAATGTTGACTGTTGCTACGCTGGAGGGCGTGGCTTCATCATTCAGCGAGTAATAGTGTTTTTTAATAAATGTTTCTCGACAAATCAGATTCAACTAATTTACATGATAGTATAATATATTTAATTGTTAAATGATGTCATAACGATTGTGATATTTCAATTTGCATCTTCAATCTTTATGATAAATTAAAGAATCAGATTATGATAATTAGTGTATTTTTTCCCATGAAATCCGAACTAGGCATCTATCTGTTTTGACGTTGGAGATTGTTTCGGTTGTAGAAAATATAAACTCAGAAATTTTACCAAAATCACTCACATAAAAACGTACGACTTTTCAGTACTTAATAAAACCATTCCCCACGATAAATTAAAGTCCAAGCTTTTTTACATCATCGACATCTGCTTTTTCAATAAAAATGGAACTCTTAAATTTACTTACCTTGTCATTGGTCATTCGGAAAATTATTTTGTTAAAATCATCCTGATTGTACACACAAGTAATCTGAAGTTGAAATTAAAAAGATGCTTAGGTTTCTAATTGACAATATCTATGTTGTTTTTGGAGATTAATTTTGCGCCCTGTTATTGGCAGACCTATTGTTGTTCATATGAAGCAGAATTACTCAAAAACTTCTGCATGAAAAGAGGTTTCTTGCTCTGGTTCAAGATATCGAGGGCATTTAATCAATTAACAATATTCATTTTCATTCCTACGTTGATTCGATATATCCCTGTGAACACTAAAAATGATATCACAGAGTCTGTCAAATCTGTTTTATATCTGAATATTTTACTAGAAAAAGACGTTAACGGTAAAATAACAGCAAAACCTTATGATAAACTTTTCTATCGTGAACTTTCCTTATTTATCAAGTAATATACCATAATCACCTGCATATGGAATTTATGTCTCCAATTTTGATTCGATATCCAAGAGTATGCTCTACGTACGAACTATTTCTAATAAGAGGCAAGCTATTGACAAATGAGATGACATAATAGTCTTTTTTAAAGTCAACATTTGGCATATTCCATGGTCGATACAATGACTTGTCCGCAAATATAATTATTCATTAGGTCGACTGTTAGTGATGTTTCTCATACAAATTGTAAGGCCATTATTTTCACTGATTTTCCGTTTCCCGATCATGACAAGGAGCACACTGCGGGTGTGGCCGGTCGACAGTGATGCTTATTCCTACATGGGCACCTGATCCCAACTCTGATGTTTTTAAAGGCCCGTTTTTTTGCTCTGCTCCAAATTTGTAATGTTTAAATGGACTTTCTCACAGTAATTATGCATTAGTTATTGTGTTCCCAGAAATTCTTGAGAATTTGTTCGAAGTACATTTATTTAAAATATGACACAAAAATATATAAGTTTAATTTTTGGTTTTTATCAAGGACACTGCCTGCTTTTTTCTTATCTTACATCCAGATTTCATGAATTACATACCCTTTAATTTACTTTGTATGTTTCCTGTCGATTGCTTATGTTCAAAATTAGTGATTTTAAAAACCAAAAGCCTGTTCTAGATTTTATAAATATAGTGATATTTTTAAAACACTGAGTATTCCACTGTATACTTTCGTTTCATGTGGCGTGAAATATTGAAAAGTTATTCAGCAATGGGAAACATGTTCTTATGGACAGACACACAAACCTCCTTGATTTGTAAATGTTAGTTTCCTTGAGCTACCAGCTATTTTCCATAACTGAATTCATACTCCTTTTCAATATTTTTGTACAACATAATACAAAAAGAAATGTAAAAAGAAATACTCAGTGTTTCAGATTACAATCCCTTCATTATGCATAGCACTCATTTTGAACATTAGCAGACGACAGGACGCAAATAAGGTAAAAGGAGGGAAATCATGACAACTGCATGCAACATCAGAAAGTAAGAGATATTAATTTTTAATCAGAAAAGTAAGATAAAATTATATTACATTTTACTTATGCAATATCTTGAATAAATTTAAAGAAAATGCTCCGTAATTTCTGGGAATATTATATTTATCAATCAACAACACACTCTTTACAACAAGAAAATATTTTTTTAAAGATATGTCAATTTCTGCAAAATTTATGAGTTCAGTCTAGAGATTTCTGGGACAAACTCCATAAATATCTAACCTTATCCGAGGAATAATTTATCTGTGGTGCTTGGTTCTTCAAAGAATCGATTTTAATTCATGATTGAGAAATAAGAAAGGATAATGAAACAGTCACAGAATATATTTTAAAGTACGTATTTATAATATACTACTCAGATAGGGCTCCTCAGATAGACTTTCAGTATCCGTGAGCAATAGCATGACTTGTTTTTAGATAACATAAAAGTCAATTAACACATCAAAGTTTCAATCGTAAAGGTGTGTCATATGGACGGATACTTTGGTGAGATAATCATTACTTAATGTCACATGTGCCTTATGTAAAGTTGAAATAAGATATTATTTATTTTTTTATCAAGTTTATGCAATAACTATTTAGCAAATAATATTGATATCAATCTTTTTTTAAAAAATTAAAAAATGCATTCATTATCATTTTTGTGGTTATAGAAGGGACAAAAACATATGTATTAACATACTCATGTTTTCAAAACTCACGAAATTATTTTGTTTAATCAAGTACATTTTGAATCTTTTGAAAACCATCGTTTCAATTATCTGTTAATTTTTCCGATTTATTTTAATAGACTTCTTGTTTTCTCTATATCAGTTTGTTACATGTGCTCTGTAACTAACTTGCCTATTTATTCATTAAATACCAATTACATTTTTGAACATATAGAGTACTTTTTTTTTAGATACGCTAACTTATTTACGACGTACTTGGACGCTGACCCACTTTTGAGTATAGCGATACTTTAAAGATTTGTTTATAACTAAAGAAAAGTATACTAGTAATATCATTTCTTCAGTTAGGCAAAATACGAAATACTGGAAAATATATTTGTAGCCATTATATCTTGATCCATAAAATGCATGTAACACTTGATGTATATAATCCAAGCAACACCACATTCCATATCTTGTAAATGGCTTTAGAATTTTTAGATGAAAGTCAACAAATTTTTATTTCTATTCCAAATGCTATCTGAACAAATCTAGGGTGATTTATTTTTAAAAGTTACTAGACTTAATGTAATGGTTATGGGGTGCATATCTCTCAGATGATTCGATACGCAAGAACAATTTCTAAAACGAGTTAAGTTATTGACAAACAAGTTGATGAAACAAGAATATCAACAGTCTCGTTTAAAGTCATCATTTTGTTAGTTCTATGGTCGATACAATGACCTTGTCAGCAAATACAATCTATCATTAAGTCATATTATTAGCATTATGCCTGATATGTACATTAAGTAAGCTGGGACAAATTTCTGCGAAAAGTTTATGACCGCGTACTTAGTGCGAAATATTTTTCTGCTGTATATTAAACCACATATGAGGTAATGTGATTTTCTAAAAAAAAAAAAAAAAAAAAAAAAAAAAAAATTTCCATACGTTTGATTTTTTATTTGTATAATTATATATCCATTTGTTGCTTTTATTTTAATAATATTAAATAGTGCACAATTAATTGTTAAATTACAAATTCATGCAAACAAGCCTAAGCAACAATCATTGACACTAGCATTGACTTTTCCCAATATAAAAGGCGCCTTAAGAAGAGTATTGATCCAGATGAACAGAGAGAATCGGCCTTATACCTCTGCGTCGACATTTGATACACTATGGTTATTCGCGAAAGTCATCATGCAACGTGTTAGTAACTTTCATCAACTCGCCAAAACAGCTAATATTTTTCAAATAATCAAAGAAACGTAGCCTGCAGTATTACATTTCTTTGAGTGATTTTTAATGGAAAACATGGAACAAAATGCGTCGGAGAATATTACGAACAAGGAAGAGTACGATATATATGATTCTATGTACTACGAGGATATAGACTCCCTAAAACAATCATGGACAGTCAAAGATGGTCATTTTTTGCCGACAATCCTTGTGTACGGTCTAACATTTGTGATAGGTCTTACAGGAAATATACTGGTAATATATGCTGTCGTTTGCAGTCGGAAAATGAGGTCTATAACAGCGTCTTTCATGATAAGTCTAGCAACTGCAGACATTCTGTTCCTTGTGGTGTGCGTGCCATATAATACTGTGGAATTCGTGAAGATTGAGTGGCAGTTGGGACCAGGCTTGTGCAAGTTGTCGGTCTTTACGGAGCTGTTATCGGCCTTTAGCTCCATCCTTAACTTGTCTGCCGTCAGCGTGGAAAGGTGAGATTTCCTACAATTAAATATATTGAAACCCCTCCCTATTGCTTCCCCCGCCCCACAAGAAGTAGAAAAATCATAGTTAATAGAACATTTTTGTCGAATATTCGCAATTCACTTTAAAGAACACGAAATCTGAATATCTCTCAAAGAAAGAGCATAATTCCCTATTGTGTGTAAAAAAAAAATGAATTTATATAGGTATGTATGTATTTTAATGCTATGTAAGTCAATGCAATGCATACTTACTTATGATGTTCTGAATTACTTTAAGAGTTTTTTCTTACAAATACAAGTCTGCATGTTCTTCTCTCAGTCTGTTTTGAGTGCTACTATTTTGTTAATGATAAAATAATGATAAAACATTCACTCTTCTTCAGAGTTTAACTAACGATATCATACGTTTTAATAGCCTTCCGAATAAAAATGTTTTTTTTTAAAAGTTTTTTTTTTTTTTTTAAAAAAGCGATAAGCAAACTTGGGTGCAAATTGAGTTAAGACATAATGTTTTATCATTAACGAAAAACGAATATCATACAAGTGAAAATCACTGAGCCTGATATTTAATCAAAGTCCATTCTCTTCGGTAATCAATACAGCAAGAAGGAAATATGCCTAAAACAAAATTGATCTTATTCTCAGAAACATATGTTCTGATATATAAGGTGTGAATTTCCGGATAAATAACTCGTATGGACCAAAAGATGAAGAGGAAAATGTTTTCCTTGTATTATCAGCTTTCATAGTCTTGACGTCTACTCCAGAACCACCGGACCAGTCTTAATCAATATTACAGCCAGAGTTTTCTTAATTGTGATCGTGTCTCTATCAAATTGGAGGTCAGTATGACTTTTAAATGGGAAAAAAATTTTAAAAAATTTCTGTAAAACCATGAAAACATGGATTTTATCAAGGTCATTCCAATTTTGTTCAATTCTTGAACGTATTTAGTTTTAAAAAATGCAAGTTTTACAACCCAAGAATATACTTTTACAGTGAATAAAATATTTTGTTCGTTCGAATACAAAAAATAATGTTTCGCTCCTGTACGCGTTATCAAGGCTTCTAGCTCCAAGAAGCGGAATATCGATAGAGCAAGGATTTTGACACAATTTGTTAAAGGATGGATAATCACAACATATTCCTTAACTTTGCTTGCTCCGATTACATGTTTTATACAAGATTTAACTATCAGTAAATGTTACGTGACGTTAACATCAACAAAAACATCTAATTAGGTAGCTTAATTTGTCGAAACTTTGTTTTTTGATAATTCTTTTGATATATTATCCAAATACATGTATCATATACGAAGTGTTATGGTTTTGTTAAAAAAAAAAAAACATTAGTTTTATTTCAGACGGTCCTATTACAAAGTTCATGATAAGAATACATTAGAAAGATCATATTCTAGGATGGTATGTTAAAATAGATTTTGTTGATTTCAGATTATAAATTTCTTTAAATCAATGATTCGTGTGTTCTTCAAAACGATATAAAATAAATAGAATTTTGCTTGCGGGAATTACAAGATATGTGTGAATTAATGTAACTATTTTAGATTTTATTAAATGCAAACATTCCCGAAGGTGTATACATTTTCATGATGTGTCGGGCGGAAGGCTTAATTATCGAGTTTGACAGCCTTATAAAGTCGTATTAGTCTCTTCAGGTGTCTAAGAGAAAGTAATATGATACGGCATGAAAATTATAACAAAAAGAAAAATGTTGAAAACGGAACCATTTATTTTCATCTTTTTTCATAAAAGCATTAATATTTAGAAGATTTATTTTCTTTTTTATAAGTTTTATATATAAAATATACATTCGCAAATGATGTTTAAAGAAAGTTGGATGAATATCTGTTGTGTTTTCTTTCATGTCTGTCTGTCTGCCTGAAAGGTTTAGAAAATGTAATGAAACGTTGTGTAATCAACAGAAAAAAATGGGAAAACTCCAATATAAGGGTATGTAGTCCCTTTGCGGAAGCTTGTAAATATGAAAGTAGTAATTTGGTTTCCACTTGTCCTCCATAGTTGACCATATGTCTGTCGACCATATATGTATTAAAAGGTTGACAGTTGACAAGTTTTTTTTCTATCCTACTGTCAAACTTGCATGGTTGACAGTTGACAGTTTCTTTTTAATCAGCTGTAAACCTTACATAATTGACAGTTGACAGTTTCCATTGTAATCTACCGTCAACCGTAGACAGTTGACAATCAACAATTTGACTCTTTTTCATCTATCTCGCGGGATTGCTGACGTCACAATACGAAGCATTTTAATCAAACCGATCAGCTTATATGGACATAACGTTAGACTTGAGAGATTAGGTTTAGTTTTTGCAAACAATTTGACTGATTAAGGTTAGATTCGCACCCAGTCCAAATGGTTAGGATTAGTTCTTGCACACAGTTCAGCTGATAATGGGCAGTCTCGCACCACACCAAAGAGAGTATGGTTAGTCGTCGCACACTATTCAACTGTACAGCGTTAGTCTCGCACTAACCCGAGGGGCTAGGGTTAGTCCTAGCACCTTATTCGAAAACATGAATATTGAAAGTGTCAACAGTCAACCGTCGACTTGGCCCCGGTCGACAGTAGGACATGATTTTAGAAAGTGTCAACTGTCAACTGTCGACCTGTCCTCGGTAGACACTAGAACATCAATAAGAAGAGTGTCAACTGTCAACTATCGACCTGTCCCCGGTCGACACTAGAATATTGAAGTCAAATGTAAACTACAATCATCAATTTGTAGAAATACTTGAAATGTAGGAACATGTGCAAATAGTAAATTTACAGGTTCTAAATTACAGATTTCGAGATGGATATGAGTCAACTGACAATATTTACATTTGCTGTGTTTTTCCTCTAAGCCAACTGTGAAATTGATTTGAATGCCATTTCCGTATATACTCACGCGTAGAAATATACACGGAGAAACTCTCGCTAAAATGACGTCACAATAAGCTACAAAGACGTTAATAAAAATGTAACGGTATAGGCCAGCATATAATTCAAACATTGAGTTTATTTTTGGGGCTTTTGAACATGTAAAATGTAAATATAAGGAATGTTTTTAAGTTTAGTGTGAATCATTGGTGTCTAAATCACACAGACTTGTACATAGGCATATTTTTCATGAAGAGCTAGTGCGCTTCATGAAATATGCCTACGTGACAAGACTGTGGGATTTAAACACCAATAACTTACATAAAACTTTAAAAAAAAAATCCTTAAATATACGCCGATAAAGAAGAAGGTACGATTTCAATAAAAATCTTGCCCTGTATTTTTTAAACATGGCATTGAGATTAGAATATAAAAAACTTTTTGAATAGTTCAAAATTCATGCAATAAGATCATAAAAATCGTTTATCTTATATGACCTGTTAAATGCCAATTGTGACGTCATGAACTTATGTATTTTCCCGTAATTTCATTAAAATACAGAATGCAGAAGAAACTGATTTTCAGTGAAATTTTCTTTCAGACATTTTAGACCACATGCACCGCCCACAAAAATTTATTTTAAGATACATGATTTCTCAAAAGATTTTATACAACACATCTGAAAATTGAAGTGGTCGACGGCTTCGGACACTAACCTCTTAATTTAGAAATTTAGAGACTTTTTGTGTTAAAACATAAAATGTAATAAATGATTGACGTTATATTTCCAGAACGACCCATTTTTATCCATATTCTTTCCTGATTTATCACATTTCTATACTCAACTCATAGTTTAACATTTTTTTTAAAAAACATCAAATATTTACGCAAATGAGTTAAGGTGAGGTATAGACGTTTCTATGCAAATGAGCAAATAAAAACGCACAAGAAGTCTATCTTTTATACAGAGAGAGCTTAATTTCATTTTCTAATACATACTTAGTTCCCAAAACATGTTATAGCTAGTGCACATTACGACATCATATTATGACGTCATTTTTCTTTAGTACTCAAAGTAATAAAACACACCAACAAACAGCTTTAGCGCAAGGGCATACTCTATTTAATTTTACGTAAATAATGTATAATTCTACGAAGAATATTCTAAATTAATAAAAGTGCTCCCCAAATCCTATGCACTTTCTCGTTTGATAAGAATTTGAGGAATCTTACACCAGTCTGTGAATTTTTACCCCGTTTCAACTCAAAACTTAACAAATAGTAAGTAAACAATTGGTTTGTCAATATTTGTGCAGCAATATAATCAATTCTTGGAATATTCTGCTTCTAATTAGACCCTGTTTCTGTAAAAATGAATAGGGTATGCCCTTGCGCCGAAGCTTTTTTCTTGATGTTCTTTATAACTTTGTGTAGTAGGGAGCATAATATGACGTCATAATGTGTACTGGCTATCACTTGTCGTGAGTACCAATTTTGCATTAGAAAATAAGTTTTAACCTTTTCTGTACAATAAGTATAGCCCTTATGCGTTTTCATTAGTTCATTGGCATAGAAACGTCTATACTTAGTCTTAACTCACTTGCGTAGGGCATAATAAAGCCAAACCGTACCTTTCTCTTAACATATGCATTACTAGTACATAAACAACTTTCATGTAGATCTGACATAACCGCATTGATTTTTAATTCTTTTTATATATATCATGTGCGATTGATTAAAACAAATGTGGATGGGCATCCTATTTTATTAAAAATTACTATTCATGCTTAATTGACAAATCACCAATACTTTCCAGTAAGTGTAACAATGTTGAGGAGAAATGGAGAAATCTACACATATCAGAGGGCATTAAATATATTATTACTCGGTATATACATGTAATTTTGTTAACATATAAACATAAACGTTTATCGTTTTCTATTTAATACATGTTTTATATCATGACCATGGATAATGATCTTGTGGTGTTGCCCAAGAGATAATAAGAAAATCAGGAAGCCACAATGAAATGTCCCCTTGACATGCCCATATAGTTAAACAAAATGAAATTGCGTCTATTATTTTGCAGAACTTTTTAACCAAACTTCA